AGGCACAGGGGACCTCTGTTCAGCCAATGGGAGCTGAAGGGCCCGTGCTCAACTAATGGAGGCGGGTGGGGGGGGCTGTGCTCAGCCAATGGGAGCAGAAGGGCCTGAGCCCAGCCAATGGGAGCAGAGGGTTGGGGCCTGCTGGGGATAAAGAGGGAGCAGCGGCCCGCTTGTGCGGAGTGCTTGCTGCGCCAACGGCAGGTGTCAGGTCCTCGCTGCGGCCACACTCCCCCCCCCCCCCCCCCCCCCAGAGTAGCGAGGCGGCCTCGGGGTCAGCCTCCTGAGTCGAGGTGGCGTATAACGGGAAGCAAGGACAGGAAGCCAGCGGGGTGGAGGGGCCGAGGCAGTGGGGCAGAGAGAAGCCACGCCAAGCGCAAGCCCCGGGACCTGCTCCGCCCCAGGGTGGGAACCAGGGCCAGGCCCGGGCCTCGAACTCGGGGCCTGGGCGCGGCCCCCGGGCTGCTGCGGCTCGGGGCTGGCGCTCTACCCTGTGAGCCACGGCGCCGCGTCGGGATCTTCGCTCGGATGGGGCTGCCCTGGCTGGCGTGGAGCCCCTGTGTGCGAGATCACAGGCCGCAGCCCGGGGCCTGGCCGGCTCGGGCCCACTGCCGAGGCGACGCTGAGCAGCGGCTGTCCCGACGTTATCCGCCCTCAAACCAGCCACAGAACACGGAAAACCTCACTGCCATCCGGGCGGGGCCCAGGCGCTCCCGCCTGTCATCCCAGCGCCTCGGGAGGCTGAGATGTGAGATCTGAGGACGGAAGTTCGAAGCCAGCCGGGGCAGGAAGCTGCGGCTCGGGCGGTGGAGCGCCAGCCGTGAGTGAGCGCTCAGGGACAGCGCCCGGGCCCCGGGTTCGAGCCCCAGGACCGGCACAAAAAGTTAAACAACGACAACGAACCCCCTAACGTCCTTGGGAAAGGAAGAAAGCGTCTTACCAAACATACCAGAGGTGAACCCAGTCTGTGGTCAGGCAACTGTGGAGAGAGGGGCGTGGCAGCGAAATATCACCGTGCTATGCCATGGCGATGGAGCTCGCGGCGTCTCCGTGTTGCTGTTTGCTTATTTCTTAGCAGAGCTCGGTCATCTCAGCAAGGTTTTGTGACATTTCCATACATCTCCCTTCTGCACATGCGCACAACGCATTCACAAAGCCCATCCTCCGCACACGCGCACAACGAACTCACAAAGCCCGCCTCTCCTCCGCACATGCGCACAACGCACTCACACCAACCATCTCTCCTCCGCACATGCGCACAACGCACTTACACCAACCCACCTCCGCCCATGCACACAACGCATTCACATCAACCCGCCTCTCCTCCGCACATGCGCACAACGCATTCACATCAACCCGCCTCTCCTCCGCACATGCGCACAACGCATT